CGGCGCCCGAAACCGCGGAGGTCCGGCGGGGCTGCGCGCTGGCCGCCCGGCTGGCTCACGGACCGGACAGCGGCAGGCGGCAAAACCACTGGAGACAGCGTCCGCCGACTCCTACAGTCATGCTTCCACAGCCTGTGTTGGAAAAGTACTATTTATTCCATATTACATACGGAGAATCGCCATGTATTCCCTTAACACAACTACTCTCCTATAACAATTTGGTGTTTTCGTAGCACCTTTCCGTCAGATCCTGAACAGCTTTCACTTTATCCACCCGCTGTCCAAAGATGACATCAACCTCTGAACACAGGTGGGTGGAGTGGCCCGTCACACGCTGCTGTGGCAGAAAACATTTTAGCATACAGATGAAATAACACGTTCTTACTGTTGTACTTACTGCCTTCCCTACAACATCTTACAGCATTGGTCTTCAACTATTTTGTATTTACACCACCTGTAACCATGCTTGATCAAAAGAACATAACAAAGCTGGGACTGGAGACACAGAACCTGTAAACCCACACCCAGTACTGGCCTTAGCAAAGAAGTTTTCTGAGAACAAAAATGTTCTCAGAAACGAGCCAGCTGTTCTCAGTAATGGCAAGCCCTCACTCCATTATCCTCCCTTTGCTTTAGGGCAGAAATTCAGAAAGTCAAGAATACTCGCAGAAGGTAAATCATTTTAGTGCCACGATACACATTGAACTTGCTTGACATTCCGTGTGAACTTGCTGTTTACCCCCCAAGTTTCTTCATACAGTGTCATTCCAAATCCCTGTATCGCCGTGCAGGTGCTCATCATCCTTTGACCCATTAAGAACAGTTGTCACTGCAGTTGCCAGTTTGTGACTTACATATTCAACACTGGTATTTTCAGCTGTAATATTAAGTTTGAGTCATCAGTTATTTCTAATTATTTCTATTTTTAAAAACATTTTTGTCACAGAATTCACTAAATAGTTTTGAAATAAGTCATCTAGAGCAAGCTGTGAATTCTGCTTTTGATTATACAGCTCTAATCTGCAATAACTAAATGAACTAGCAAACAGGCAGAAACACTGTGCAAGTTACAGAGTTAATAGTTTAAACATGCAGATAAAATGTTTTACAAAAATTCTAATATGATGAGTCTTCCCTAGAAAAGAAAGTCACCAATTTAAAAAAAGCAGAGAAGAAACTTTCTCAAAACAAAAAGAAGAAAAAATTAAGTATGTCACTAATTTTAAGCTGATTTAATTAGCTCAAAGGTTCATTGTTTTCTCGGGGTGCCAATTTAAACATAAAAGGTGTAAATATATATTCAGGGAAATGAAATCCTCCTTAGACAAATAGTTCATGTAATAATGGGCACGATGAACTGGAAGGAATGGCCGAGGGGGAGGGAGTGGGATGACAAAAAAAAACCACCAGCACCACCACAACCAAAAACCAACTTGTCTGGAATTAATCCAGATAAGCCTTGCTTCTTCATAGCCAGCACCAAACAGTCTTTCCTTCTAAAAACTGCATGTGATATGGTACTTACCTATCAGAAATCAAAGAGATGGAAAAAAAGGTGACTAAGAAAGGATAAAAAAAAAAAATCAAACAGATACAGAGAAGATTTCAATTGTTCTTGAAGAAGTCAGGCCTTGTGGTTGACTATACAGAAAGTGGAGTTATCTAAAAGATGCTTATGTGCTACAAATGCTGTAACACTGATTTCCTTTTTCTTTGGCACCTTAAGTACTGGAAACAAACTTCAGCTACAACAGCAGTCAAAATTTTTCTATAAAGCTAAAATTTCAAGCCATCAACAGATTTTTCTGGGGCAAAATAAGTCCTCTCGTGCAGGAATCAAGACCTAAGTACTTATTAAAAACTTTGTCTACTGAATTTTACCTCCATATATGACAGGTTATTTAATCCTTGCTGTAACTGAAAACAACACTTGGGTATTCACATTCTGAATAGACAATAATGAAAAAGAACAATACCAAAAAACTCACCAGAATTTCCTTTGTATGCAATACCGTGCTGACTTAATAAATCTTTAAGTTTTTTTATTTCTTTAGAAAGTTGCTTGTATTCCTAAGAAAGAAAATACATTTTAAATGGCTGTCCCACTCTCCAAATGCATACATAAAACAGGAGTTCATAAAAAATAATGGGTCTGTGCACAGCTGTTACAGCTTTTGACTTAAAAGACCTTAAACTGTTTGTTCCAAGAACAAGGTGCAAATTTTAGAAAAAGAGGTATTTCTACATTGCCAAAACAGGAGCCAGCTTTTTCCAAGCCTTAGAGTAAAAATCAGGAGGGCTCTCTGTAACTATTTCAGATCTATCCTCTTACCTAGCATTTTATCATAGCACAAAATTGCATTCATAAGTTTGCTAGAGTACCAGCCTTATTTTATTTTATATCATAATGCTGCAGTCTGGAAATCTGTCACCTCCTCAACTCTTGATCTAGTAACTTCATGTTCTCGCTTTCAGCAGTTTCTGTTAACTTACAGAGCACTTACATACCCCCCGCCCCCGTCTTCTTACTGGGCATTCAGTTGTGCTGGTTTGTTTTTGACTTACGGGCTACAATAAGGATATCAAATCACTGTTACATATTGAAACCAGAAAAGATAATCCCATTAACAGATTTCAGCTAAATCCAAAGAGTGTTTACATAATGCTGTCACACTGATGCTGTCATACAGTAAGAAGGTGGCAATTTAATTCCACATTGTAAATACTACGCTCTATACCTTACTGCACTTCTCCACTGTTTCAAATTCCAGATTTATTTTCTTATTCTGTTTCTCAACTTCCTTTTCTTCTGTTGCTTTTAGAAGTCCTGCTTCTTCAAAAATCTCTTTCAGTATTTTTTTATATCCCTAAAAAAGAAAGTTTCCAAAAGACAACAGATCAATCCACCTGCCTTTCATCTCTGCTTGTAATTTGCACTGGCCATTCCAATTCCTCAAGCTTCACTGTAGAAAACATTACAATTACCAGTTGATAGAGCAGTTACAGAGCACAAAAATTACTATTTGCCAACTGCAGAATAAACACATCCATTCCAAAAGGAAAAACTGCAGAAGCCAGGTTTGGCTCTTTGACAGTAATTGTTCTTTACCAAAGAGAATTACCCAACCTGGTCAGTTATTAGTTCATCATACAGAAGCTGCTCTGCTTCATCCCACTTCCTTTGTAATGCTTCAGGCAGAGTCGGATAAACTGAAAAATGGAAGTCAAACCATGTAAAAACCAACAGCACCGTCCTGCATTAGTTAAATGCTCCTCTAGTAGCACGCAAGCGTATTTGTTTTAAGAACTCAATGTTTCTATACAGTACATAGTCTCTACTGCTTTCAAGCATTGGGGTTAAACTTAAATTCCACTTCACACATTTAAAGTTTCTGGAGAATGCCACTGGCCAAAAATTTTTCTCTTATTTCTAGACAGAAGGCCTCATATTTCTTTGTTGAATGTAATTCTAACTGAGCTCTCCCTTTTTGTAATGTCAATAAATGAGCAGATACTACATGAGCTGATTCCTACAACCAGTCCAAGAAAAAAGCAAAATATCCCTCACTGGGTCTATACTAGCAATGACAATTTATTTGAGAAATACCTATGTGTTGTAATGATTGGGATTGAAAATACACTTCATATTATATGTTACATTTAATACTCATTTATACCAAGTCACAAACTCAAAGAACCTAAAAATTTACACTCTGAGGCTGGCATAATATGCCAGCTGCTCCACGCACAAATGATTTTCTAAATCTTACCTAAAAGAGAGTGGGGATGGCACACGAGAGGAGTCTCAAATGTCAGAGAGTAAACACAAGTACTCGGCTCAGACACATAAGCCAATTTATTGCTCTTTCCACAAACAAGATGAACCTAAACATCAGTAAAAACAAAGATGAGCAGAACACCTCCACATGAAACAGGACCAGCACTGATGATCAGTTTGCTCTCTTCCAGTGCTAGCAGATGCATTTCTGTACACACTGTCATGTCAAAGCTTCCAGTGCTGTCACCCACAGAAACAGAATCATAGAGCAAGCACATCTTCAAATTACTTTATCAAATGTGAAAATTGCTTCCTCTAATGGGAAATGATCCCATCACCTACCACTCTTCCTTGGACTCCCAAGCACCATGTTTCCAGCGAGAATGAGAGTAAAAAGGAAGGCGAATAGGACACCCTTTAGGACCTCACCTGACATAAGCATAATTCACTTAACCAATTTTAGTTCTTACCAATGTGCTAAATAAAGAGAACAATACACATCTAGAAATTGTTTTTCATCTTTAAACTTGCAGCACCGGTATTTTCTGTCTGTTCAAAAATAAATGCCAGTGAAAGATCTGAATCACAATATCAAAGGTCATACAAGAATAAGTAATTCTTTCTGCAGCCCCCATGGGAGATAAAGATGTTAAGAAGGCACCTCCATTACAGTACAGAATATTTTCACGTGGGCCAAGATATTTTGTCCCTTACCTCACCTTCACATTAGTTATTATTCCAACTATATATCCGTCTCTCGTAAGTATTGTATAGTCACCCATCACTGTAATAGCTAACCATCTTCTACACGAAAAGCAGCCTGTTGTGAACTATACGGTATCTTTAACTCTTCTTCACAATAGCAAGCTACGTTACCAGGGAATGTGAGGATTAATTCATTATATCTGTAAAACTGTGTAATACACTGAAATGGGAGGTGGAAAAAGAAAAACATTAATGAATAAAAGGATAAAGGATGTGTGCAAATCATGTGCCACACATTGGGCAAGTCTCAGACACCCTTCTTTACCCTTCTAGTTCAATAGTTACTTAGCACAGAGACTATTTGAATGTGAAAAGGAACATTTTAACCACTCCACAAAATAAGAATTTTCACTTTTTCTTTAAAATGTACTCACAACAGAAACTGTTTCTCTTGAGTTGGTTCCTCTGCCACTCCCATATATCTGATTCCTTCTTTAATTTTTCTTGTACACTCTCTGCTCTTGTTTTAACACCAGCATTCTGTTGCTAACTGCCTAATTCTTTTCCCTCCTTCTTCCTAGATGTTCTTAGCACAATATGCTGGCATCTTGAATTCAACAAATAGCTCTTTTTGTTTACTTTTCCTGACACAAATTACAAAGCACTGTATGTTTCTACAGCAGTGATAATACCAGAATATTCCACTCTATCAAGGAAAAAAAAAAAAAGAGTTAAAAGTAACCAATGAGAATACATAAGTAAACTTCAAAATTTTATCCTGATTTTAGCTTCCCTCCTCCATCCATTCACCTAGCTCCTACAGGAATTCATCTTTATGTTTTATATCACATCTTAAATGATGACTTCTTCAAGGTAGGAATGTTTCAGTCTGTAGAGTGTCATGAGTGTGCATAGAGTCATGCTGCCTGAATTAGCATAGCCTAGGCTATTATACCTTTGTCTGTCTGCTCTTAGTTTCACATGAGTCTCCTTCCCTCATCCACATTCCAACAAATGTGTTGTTGTCAATTTCCCATTCATGCCAGATTCTGAAAAAACAGGACATCATTTTATTTTAAGTTACTGGAAGGAAAACAGTGAACACTCAGGAAGAAAAACAGGAATACCCTTAGACCATGTTCAATTTAACTGTATATACTTCATTTTTGTTTCTTAGTATTTCCATTTCTTACAGCCAAGACCTTATAAACAGTGTAGTTTGTTATCCAGGCTGCTGTATAGGGCACATCAACATTACATTGAGAGCACAGTTTTGGATCAGCTTTCAGTTTGCAAACCATTTGCACTTGCATATCTGTTTAATGTTTAATGTAAAAATGTTTAAATCCAATAAAATACAATAAAATACAGCTTATAGATCAATCTCACCACAAATTCCCTGATGCTAAGTACCCTGTGCAACTCGGATTGTTTGCAGGATTTTTAGTGCTGGTGAGAGCACCTACAAAAACTAGTCTCTACTTCTGCTACTCCTGAAGCCAATGATACTCTCAACATCTTGATGTACCCTTCTCCTCTCATATTGGCTCACTAATTATTGTGCACATAGGAAAAAAAGAGACATCTATACAAAATATTTGGAAAGGCAGTAATTTTAAAACAGTGCTCTGGTTTATAATTAAATTTATTTTAGATCTTATGATTTGGATACTCTGGGGTCTTTGAACACTTTGGGATACTTTTTTGGGTCTACATTGAGTTTTTATTACCTTTTATTAAATATTTGTAATATAGCCCTTTGGCGTAAAGCACTCATTTCATTTTGTAAGGTTATATTCAACTCAAAGTGAAAATAGTTAAGACATGAAATCTTTGTTAATATAAGCTGTAGTTATACATTACTGAATTTCTCACAAGAACATATCACACCTGCAGTTGGCACTGGTTATTAATCAGCCTCCAGCTAAAACAGGAGGTTAGTATTTACCAACAAAACAATCTGAATTTTTCCAGACGGGGTATTTTTATGCATAACACCTTGGGAACTACAACAACCTAAGCTGACCAATAAAAGAATCTTCATTTTAAAAATGCCTCCTTTTTGACAATCCATAAAATGGTCTGCTAACAACATAGGTAAAACTTAAAGGTCTAAAAGCCTCACCCTAAAATCCCACTATAGGCATTCCATCGAAAAGTCTGCTCATGCTGAGTGACATTATGGAAAGGACAGAACTCATATTTGTACCTTAAAAGAAAAAAAAAGGAAAAGAAGAAGAAAATAAGCAATGTTTCAGACCAAAATAAAAAACTAGTTTGTTCCTAATAAATATATAAAATCAAATATCCAAATCCATTACTCACGTGGATTCCACAAAACTGAAACACTTGCCAGCAAGCCTAAAGAGATGTGCAGGGCCTAAAAACACCACAAAATGACAGCAAGGAAGAATAATGTTTTGGTTAAATTTAAGCAAGTTACTGTGGTGACGAAACTGCAAGGATTATGTGACAAGCTTAGTTTTCTGCTGTACATACGGAAATTTATATCTTCCATATGGATTACTGTAAGTTCCCACTAGTGCTGTATCAGTTTGCATCATGACCCTTTAACATTTTTCATCTTCAATACTCAGTAAAATAGATAAGGCTCTTTCTACAATAGAAATAAGAAACCTGTATACAAACAAATATTTGGAGGCCAGATCCATAAAAGGAATCATCAGTGCAGATCTTGCCAAAATCTAACATTGAAATGACTAGAACGCTTGCCTGGCACCTGTCTGTCCCCAAAGTCATCCAAACTCCTCAAGTTTATACTAGTAAAGCCCATTTGCTCAGAACGTCGACAGTGCTGCATATTTAAGTTTCACTGAGATTCTCAAACTAGATATTCCTTTTCACAGTTTGCCTTCACGGTCTGATCCAGTTAGTATTCAACAAGATAACCCTTTTACTGTCAGGCAGGTCAGCAGTTACAATTCTGCTCTTGTCGAATTGACCATTCCAGCCTTGCTGTCAAAGGAATCCAAGACAGGTAACTTGTCATTCAAAAAAGGGCCAAAGGTTCTGAACGAGGCGCTACAGGGGTATTTTGGTGTCCCTTGTTTAAGGTAATTTTGCATGGAATGATTAAATATTTGTGAGGAAAGGAGAAGAGAAGAGATTACAAAGCAGACAAAATAAAACCCCATCCTGGATTCTAATTCCCCACTGCCAGGCTTGCCTATGTACTTCTTCCAAAGATCTAGACAAGCAATCCTAGAAACAAAGATCAGACCACCAGAATCACGCCCTCCGGAATGCCCTGACCACTGGGATACAGGCAGGTTGTCTTTCCCATGTGATTTTTCTGACTGTATGATCTTGCACTTCATTCTACAGATTATCATAGGCTTGGCCAAAGGGTTTGCCCCTCTGCCACATGCAGTCTGTGCCTTAATGCTTAGGATGCTCTCCCCACAGAGGAAGAAAAGCAAATTTGAATGTCCCTGAGGAATGCGTTAAACTCACGCCTCCATTTCCTGGGCAGATGCTCTAAAAGAGAAATTATAGGAACTACTACCTCAACTGTCTTGTAAAAGAAAAGAATGAGTAAGGTTTCCATGCTAAAGAAATAATTGTGCAAGACAGGGTTCCATGCCCTGGATTCCAGTTCCGTAGACACTCCTGATTTTTGGCTACACATAAGTTCCCCCATCCAGGAAAGAAGGATTTCTAGTGTACTGTCCTTTTAACTTTTTTGCTGCTATTTTTGGCATCCTTCCATTCAGCATTCTAACTATTACTAATCCCATTTCTAACTATTTCACTTTTCACATGCAGTACGCACAGAATTCATACATTGGATTTGGGTTCGTAAAACAAGACAGAAGTCATAAAGCATAATCACATTCAATGTCACCATGCCAAAATGCCTCTATTGAGCTTGGACAAGGTTTAAGTCTGTGCCTAAGGTTAGCAGAGAGACAAGTGTTATTTCCTTTTGCTTACTCTTTGCATTCAGTGTTTATTTTATCTACTCTTCTCCATATATAGTCTAGAATTTCTTATATTCCTGTTTATTTTGCTAAAGTGGTGGATTTATGTTGCAGCACCCAGGCTTTGTGTGAAACTGAGCCTCTGTGATTTGTTCCAAGACTACTCTTAGGCCTTTTTTGAAACAATTTTTGAGTATTAAGTACTATCAGCTGATGGCATGGCTTTTCTATGACAACCTCAAGGATGTCAGGGTTTGTTTCAAGAAGATTTCAAGAAGAAAAAAGTTTTTAGTAAGGATCAGAAGGATCTGTGACTGGCTCAAAAAACACAGAATAAACCATACGGCTATCACTGTCCAATTAGCACTGGGACAAGGAACACCAAAAAGGTTAATCTAGGTTTTAACCCTTCAGAAGCACAATAAGACATATTTGCCCATGCTTATCTTCCATGATGCTCGCAAAACGACAAATAAAATTGGTCTTAGTCTGCATAAAGTCAAGGTAGACTATTCTGCAAACGACTGTCACTGAATGATGAAAACCGTACAAAAAAGGTAACGCTTGCATATACCCGATATTGCAGACGGGGACACCTTTGGCTGCAGCCTGTTTGTTTGCAGCAAGAACGGGTTATTCAGCCTGTCAAAAGAAGGAAAGTTACAGACTGAGCTGGGCATCCGGCTGTGGCTGCAGCCTCCCCGGCCCGAGTG